AGCTCTCTTACACCCCTGTCCATCAATCACACTGAGATTAAACAAACAAACAAACAAACGAATTTAGCCAGATTTGGTGAATCTCCAAGATATCATGTAGCCATTCTTCTCGATCATGGCGGAGAATGCTATCAAAAATCAGTCCAGAGCTCTCAGTCTCAGCTTGGCCAGAACACATGCTTAGCTTTCTGGAAAACTATACTGCAATAGCAGTCGTGCATGGTGGTTAAAAGAACTGAGATATTAGTTCAGTCGATAACTTAATCCCCTAAATTAACACTGTCAAATTCTCTCTGTAACATAGTACTCAGATGGTAGAAATAGTTAGCCTCTCTCGGAATAATGGATTAAAGTATAATGGATTAAAATGGAGCACATGCCGACATTATAGTAGCCTTGCAACAAAGCACTGGTGGCACTGGTGTTTGTTAGTCACTTTAAATCCAACAATTATTGTAGTGTATGAAGATGTTCTTTGAAGACTTGTCTAGCGCAAGCAGGTATTTGACAGATTACCCAAGCTATCCAACTACTCTGAAGAGGCAGTATGTTAGCTTGAATTTCTTCTTTGTTCTGCCCAACCATCCATGATCATGACATATTTATTAATGTGCTCATGGTTTCTTAAACTATATCAGCTTGGCCAGAACTCAAATTAGGTCCATTTTTGCAAGTGCTGTTGCTGCCTAAATACTGGAAAATCTTCTTTTCTTGCACATTGTCAAGGATAAGTGTGAGTTTTTGTTCTCTTCTGTGCTTATGGTAATCTGAAATATTGTTCTCTTTGTTTAGACATGTCTAAAAAAAACAAAGACAAAGATCATTTGAGTTAAAATGTATTTAAAAAAACCCCAAACTAAGTAAGGGTTATACATTAAAATTACTCTGAAGAGTTTATACATGCTCATTGTTAACCACAATTAATTGGAACACCTTGTTTGTTCATTTCTCACCCAATTGTGGCTCTCCAATAAAAGGAAAGTTTTCAACCATCTTGCTTTACCCACTCATCTAAAGCAGTACATAGTAGTAAGACCTAGCTACCATAGGGAAATATAGAACCTTATTTTAAATATGCCAGTTTGATTAAAATGGGCCTCAAGTAGATGGTCTTCTTGAAAAGTGACAGTCTAGTGCTAGATCACAACTTGTTCTCACCTAACTTGTATACCAGTTAAACTCTGAAATATCTTCTTCAACTCGTCAACTATAAAGCTTATAAAAGTCCCCATCCTGCCATCGATCCACACACAAAATTGCCATTGAGGTCAATGGATATTATGTGCACAGGAATAATGAGGCTTATAAGAATTTAACAGACATATTAAATAGTAAAGTTCTTTGCTGAGATTAAGGCATTGAGAAAAGCTGATTTAGTGTCTCTGAGATTGGGCTCCCATACTAGAGGAGTATCAAATGTAATTTTTCATCAAAATGGTCCCCCTCCACTTCAACTGCAAATAGATTCCCATACTAGAGGAGTGTCACATGTAATTTTTCATCAAGATGGTCCCCCTCCACTTCAACTGCAAATAGAATTTACAGTTATTATATGTGGGGAGGCAAAGCTCCCTACTATTGCATGAGTCACATTTGAGACACTGAACAGAATGGGGGCACCTTTTTTTTAATGATGATATAATTGGTTTCATACTTTCATCTTAGCAAATTTCTACAAGATTTATCTTGTCAAAATTTATTCTGAATGGCACAAATTACTGGCAGAGATTGTCAATCTAAAAAAAACAGAGAGAGATGAGTTTAATTGCTCCCTGAAGATATATAAAAAGCTACTTTTAGTTGCCACTAATTCTCCAATCAGATAGCATTTATGATTTGTGTCATTGAACATGACAGTAACACCAATAAAATTTAACTAAGAAAACTTTAAAAGTGAATGGTGGAGGGTTTAGGGGTTTCAGTAAAACACACCAAAGCTCTCACGAAAGAGTCCCAAAGCGGGTAGGGGATATGGAACCCTTACTGAAAAATCTAATTAGCATTTAAAACATGAGGCACTTGCCAACTTAAAGTGATGAACTATGGACTTCCTGTTTTTTCTGCCATAGGGAATGACTTCACTGGTATCATAAATAAGGTTTCGTCCTATTCCTGTTTAACAGCTTCTTACATGCCTTCTCTCTCCATTTCCAATAACCATCTCAAAGTTAAGTGTTCAGAGAAAAATATATTTCACTCTCACTCTTCACTCCTAATAGAAAGGACCAAAATTACATTGCATAGTATTCTTGTGTTTTTTCAGGTTTGGGCGGTTTTGGTGCAAGTTTTTTGTTTTTGTTTTTTTCGTCTGGGGTTGGGATTACATGTGGTAGTCTTGTATATAGCCAGGTCAAAGACTAGGGATTTATATTTTGCTTTCAAATTATTGTAAATCATGGTCAGTTGCAAACCACTGATTTTGTTATGTTTGGTATGTGATATTCTATTTTTCTTCACATCCAATGATCTCAAAATGCTTTATAGACATATATAATGGCAACTGTTAAGACTCACAGCATCCCTCTGAAGTATTATCTCCATGTTACAGATAAGGAAACCGAGGCAAAAATCTCAAGGATTTCAGTGAGGAAGTATCAGAATTTTAATGTGCAGATTGGACAATATTTAGTCCATCAGACTAAAATACATAATAAATGGTGCAGATATCCTGAAGGTATGTGCCTCTGAATGGATACTTGGATCCTGTAGGTATGTGCCTCTGAATGGATACTTGGCATAACAGGGAACAGAAATAAGAGCTTTGGTGTACCAGAAGGACAATATGTAGTGAGTAAAACAGGTGTATGGAGTGAATAAATATTTTATCTATCAGGGATTCAATCCTACATTCTTTGTGCAACTAAATCTGTCAGTGACTTTGACAGAAGTTTTGAATATCCAAGTAGTTCAGAATTTGGCCATAAATTAGATATGAAAATCAGCTTCTATTGGTAAGTGAATTTTTTTTAAGGCAAAGACAAACATGTAGAAAACATTACTTACACAAGTAAAAAAGATGAGTAGCAAATAAAAGATCCCAAGGCAGGATAGTAGTAAAAGTTCTGCTCTGTATTTTTTAATTTTTTCATCTAATTGTTCAGTGCAACCTGAAATATAAAATAAATCAAGTGTTTTAAAGATATATTGGTACCTCCCTTCATCTCAAAGTAAAACACATGTTTAATCTCTAAGGGTATGTCTACACTACCCCTCTAGTTCGAACTAGGGGGGTAATGTATGCATCCCGAACTTGCTAATGAAGCCCGGGATTTGAATTTCCCGGGCTTCATTAGCATAAAGCCGGCGCCGCCATTTTTAAAAGCTGGCTAGTGCGAACCCCGTAACCCTCAATTACTATAGGAAACATGAAAAGGTCAAATGGTCCTACTGTACCTGTTACTTTTAATATGATTGTGCCACTTTGGTTGTATTTTCCATCTTGTGCCCACAAGTTACAGCTGTATGTCCCACTGTTGTGCCTAGTAGTGTTTGTGATTCTCAAGGAATAGGAGGTATCACTGGAGAGCTGCAAGGATCCATTAAATTCTTTGGAATAGAAATATTCCACACCATTCTCAGGGTTCTTCCGTACCATTTCTGCCAGTTCTTCACCATTTCCAACAATCTGAAAGACACCAACATATTTTACTGATAGGGCTACACTGAACATAGTCTGTTGGTTCTCCTCAGTTTTAGGGGAATCATGTTTTATACATACACAAGCTTTGTTTATAAAAGGCACAATATATTTGAAGGGGAAAAAAATCCAGGAAGATGATATATCATCTTTTTCTGCCTGCAAATGAAGTGATCCTGCCCAACCTGAGTTTTAACTGTATTTCCAGTGGTTAAGAATATGTGTGCATGCATATACACAAACATGCAACTATTTAACATGATTTCTTAATCTGCTTGATCTGGACATATATCCAGTGGAATTACAGTATGAGAAAGCTGTGGGATAAATTCACCCTCTATAAAGCTAATAGAGATTTAATAGAGGTCCTTCATTGAGGGAGAGGAGGCCTGTGGCAGCTAGACTTCCTTGTGTTTGGGAGTTGTAGGAGTTCTCCAACCAGGAGTGTGACACTGGCCAAGAAGGAGGCATAGCCATTGAGTAGATTTCGTACCTTCCAAAGTGATTCCTAATAGCAGAATTTCTGGGAGTCTCTGGTGGACATTAAAGCTGCCCTCTCATGCAGACAACAAGAGGAATATTAGTGGTGGCAACAAAAATTGATCTCCATTGCCATGAAATCGCCTTCAAGCAGAGAGGACCTTGCTGGCACTGAGATGGAATGTATACCTCCTTGTGCCAGTTTCAGTGATATTCACCCTTCAACACTCTCTTTTCTCTTGAGAGACGTGTTTTCCTCCCGACTCATTGTAGTGACTAACATACAAAAATCAATTTGACGTCTTTGGATTTGGTTGCATGAAGGTCAAAAGCAGATTTTGTTGCACTTTGACAGCCTAATTAATGCTGCATTTGTTAGATGTACACAGCACTATTGTTTGAGAGCCTTCCTGAGGAATGTTGTGCATTCCAGAACCAGTTTGCAGTCTGCCAATAGGGTGAACTGAAATTCATTGACAATGGCAAATTGGTTTGGAACTGCAAGACAGACAATTGCTAATGTAGTCTGAAATATTATGTAAGGCTTGTATTAGCTACTATGTTATTTGTTTCTTTGATGTTCACTTTTTGGGACTGGAGGCAGGTTGTACTCAATGAAGAAACCTGGTTAAGAAAATCAATCACTGTGGGCTCTGTCAGAACCAAAGTTTATTAGCCTTCAGAGCTCAGTTCAAAACTCAGATTTTCAGTCCTGCTACCTATGACTAATCTAAACCATGACTTTTCTAACTGGCACTTTCTGGATTACGCATTGATGCTTATTTTTATATTTAATGCTGCAACATCAGGATTACACTCTGGGTTATTAAAATTAAATTAATATGATGATACTGGGACTACAGGGATCTAGTCTTCCTTGGATGCATTTACATATGGGAGCTTTGCATACATTCATAGAAGACTATAGGTGAGATCCTCACTTACACTTATAGTCCCTTTACAATACACTGGTGATGTAAATGAACCTTAAGTGGGCTGTCAGTTTGTGAACAGCTTCACCAACCAGGGAATGGAAATAGCTCTAAACCTCAGTCCTTTTAAGTCCCCTTCTTCAGAGTTTATTTTCCACAAATGAAAGAGGAAATCATCTGAAAAATACTCTTCAAAAATTCCTAAGGGCTTCCCCATTTGAACAGCAGTAGGGAAGAAGGCACCCCCTTCTCCCTAATTCTCCTTTGACTCATCTTCCCCTTCCTGTTACACTCCACCCAAGCAGTTCTAAGAAAAGGAGGACCAACTAATCTTTTAGGGTATGTCTACACTACCACCCTAGTTCGAACTAGGGTGGTAGTGTAGACATACCCTAAAAGATTAGTTGGTCCTCCTTTTCTTAGAACTGCTTGGGTGGAGTGTAACAGGAAGGGGAAGATGAGTCAAAGGAGAATTAGGGAGAAGGGGGTGCCTTCTTCCCTACTGCTGTTCAAATGGGGAAGCCCTTAGGAATTTTTGAAGAGTATTTTTCAGATGATTTCCTCTTTCATTTGTGGAAAATAAACTCTGAAGAAGGGGACTTAAAAGGACTGAGGTTTAGAGCTATTTCCATTCCTAGGCTCTTCACCATGTTACACGAGTGTAAGTATTTTAAGGCCTTTTATTACTGCCAGAGAGGAATATATGAGAATCGGGGTCTATACTTCTAGTACAGAAATAAATACAGATCTGGTGGGAGTGGGTCAACTTCAGTATAATAAATGGAATTGGCAGGTTTCCATCAAGTCTGCATTTGGTCTTTGCTCTCTAATGAAATGCAAAATTATCCATAATGCAATACAGAAAGTCGCTCGAGCTGACAATCTCTGCCCTAAAATAAAAGTCCTATTCTCACAGAATCTCAGAAACCCAGCCAGGATACTCCTTTTAAAATTTTACATTTAAGTTACAGATCATTATCTAGGCTTCCATATGACATGTTGTAAATTGGTGAATTCTCTGACAGTCGACAGTGAATGGAAAGATTGGAAAGTCTCGTGATTAAGGCACAGGACGAGGAACCAGGAGATACAATGCTTGATTCTTTTCCCATGCTGGTGTCAATTAGGAGTACTGTCACTGAAGTCAGTGGAATTATGCTAACCAAAAGCTGGTGCAAATGAGAACTAAGCAAGGCCCATGAGTTCTAGTCTTGACCTGACACTAAATTTCAGTATGACCTTAAGCCAATGATTTTGCCATGTCTCTCTCCTCCTCTCTATAAAATGTTGATAATCATGTTTTCTGCTTCACAGCATGAGGTGGAATTTACTTTTGGCTCTAACGGTCTTTGAGATGGTCAGGTGTAAGACATGACTGTAGAACTCAAAAACAACAGAATTATCACTAGAGCAAGCAGGAGAGAGAGAGAGAGAGCTTCCATTTACATCTACCGAAGCACATTAGAATTATCACTAGAGCGAGCAGGAGAGAGAGAGCTTCCATTTACATCTACCGAAGCACATGGAGTATGTCTACACTGTACACTAAACCTGAGCCCTGACTTAGATTTAGGCCAAATCTCTCTTCCATCTGTACACAAATAAGTCTGAGTTGGGTCAGCAAGCCTTCAGCAGGTTTCTGGAACCCATGTCCTAAGGAGGTGAGTCAGAGTCCAAGTCCTGCTGTCACCTGGCTCCAAGCCTCATTATTTTGCCGTGTGGATGCAGGTGAAGCCGCAGACCCATATCAGAAGATCTGCATAAAGCAGTATGGCTGCATTAGCACAACTGTGAAACCTGGTTCAGCAACTATAAGCTCAGAAGCTTCAGATGGGTAGCCGACTTAGTCTGTAACTGGAAAAACATAAAAACAATGAATCGTCTAGCAGCGCCTTAAACACTAACAAAACGTGTGGATGCTCAAGCACAGGTTTGGAAACACCAGACAGATCTACAAAATCAGTCTCATAGATGCAGGTTTAGTTTGCAGTGAAGATATACCCTATGTATGGTCTGTACATACATAATATACTTAAAAAAACAAAAACAGGTAGCTTAACCACCTACAGTTCTTCCCTCATTTGTGGAAACTCTGATAGTGATTTGGATCCAGGTCTTGTTTTATCCAAATCTCTAAATTTTGGGAGAAAGAAATATTCACATAAATGTTTCCAGTTTGGGCCCATCTCTACATTATACTTATTAAGTTTGTATTTCCTTTATTTCCATGAGATCTCCTTTTCAATACTGGAAAATACAATTCTCGGTGTCACTCACATTTGATTGTACATGATAGCAGCATCACTGCATGTTTTAGGCTACAGGGACATCTGGTGGTAGTTTTAAGGCCTTTGCATAAAAAGACACCACATTCATCCATAGATTTCATCAGCAATTTTTGTTTTCCTTTGATGCTTTAACTGAATTGTTTCTCCTTGCAGTCTTTATTTTATGTATATGTTAAAAACCTCTTTAATTGTAAGATTAGCAGAAAAACATCTGAAGGAATGTAAATATTTGCATAGGCTCTCTGTGTAGCCTACAGTCTTTAAAAATGACTGTAGAACTCAAGTCAGCAAAATATTCAGAGTGAATGCAGCAATTGTGCTATGTCTATGATATCACTAACTTATTTTCCTAAACATAACTGAAGTTATCTTTTGCCTCCTCCAATGATACTCAGAAGCAATGTTCCCTCTAATTTTTCCATCCATGTGCAGAATAAACTTTACGTGCATCGAGGCATGTGATGAGGTGCACCACCAGTAGAAACACATGCTATTACTGTAGGTGCTCTATTAATCAGCTGGGTGACACCTGGGTGGCCACCCACACACACAGCTTACAGAGAATACTGCTTAGCAGACTTTTGCCAAACAGAATATTTAACGTATCAGGTTCCCATGATAATCCAATGTTAATTCATGCCAAATTTCCTCCAGGTGATGCTACAACTGCACAGCATAAGGTGGATGACATAGGGTTTAGCTAATTAATTTGACATGAGGTCAGTTTGGCTGCAGTCTACATACTTACAAACCATCCTGTTCTTTTTTCCTTTATCACCCTCAAAATGTTTTCTGCCAAGGTTTATTTTTCAATTACCATGTTGTAGAGATAGCGCTAGAGCTACATTTCATTGAATGTTCTTCATAAATCCTTAGGGTCATGAAAGGGAGTTAGGCTTTACCTACACCACTTTTATTTCCTTTACTGGGTTTCAAAAGGCACATTATGAATTGTGCAGGAACCTGTAGAAATATATAATGTTGAGCGTATTTACATAAAAATTGACTCATTTGCAGGCTGACTGCTGAGAATTACTGAGGCAAGAATTTTGCTGGGAAACAGGGCCCTGCTGGAGTGTTCTTTTGCCTATCTGCATGAAATAACCCATTAAAAATTAAACATCAAAAGAATTTTGAGTTTATTTTTATTGTCATGTTTACTTTGGCCTGTGGGCAACATTTCTGACAGGCTTCCAACTTTTCAGAGTTATCCGGACAGCTTTCTCTTTGTGGTTTTTCATCTCCTTCATGGTGATGAAGAAAAATGCACTGCTCTAAATGCCAAAAC